TCATGTTGACCCGGTTGCTTCTTTTCCACCGACCGCGTTCTATTCTTATCTTCTGAGGTGGATGTGGACAACCGAGGCTCCATCGGTCGGGGCAAACACAATCCGCGGATAGAATTTGTGTGTGTATGTGTGTGTGTGTATTACGAATGCCTTACAGGCACAAATGTCGAAAACGGAAAGGGCGTGAGCAGAGACAAATCACGAGTGCGTGATGAACGGAACAAATCTACGCGTACAAACACACAGAGAGAGAGACAGACAGACAGACAGACAGACAGACAGACAGACAGACAGACAGAAAAAATAAATAAAAATAAAACACTGGACAATTATCACTGCGACGATCCCTTATGTTCAACACATCTATATGTCACAACGATAATCCGATTCCTTGGATATGAGTTGTGGGTGAATTGAATGTGAGGTCCGATCGACTAATGTTGGGCAAACGGGTCACATGTAGTCAAAATTCGTTCCCGGTTAACTTCCAGCAAAAAAAGCACACCAAACTCCCTGTCGGGCTAGTTGACAGATTCGGCCGGACAATGCAAAATAAAAGCAAGGAGAACCCAACTGTTACAGTACTGGAATGATCAAATCAGATTGTGTATCCCTGCTAAACTGTAATGTAGCAATCACGTGATCCGCCGAGTGGTAGACAGGTAGACAGAGAGAACGTGTGCACGGGTGAAGGAGAGAGAGAGAGAGATATACCAACAAAGAGAGTACGAACGTGGGGCTCAGTTGAAGACAATTTGGTAGCAGCTAAGACTCTATAGGTCTTGTATGTCATCAAACACCATGTGATTGTAAAAATGGAATCAACAGGTTTTATTGCAGAAAAATCCATTAACACAATTAAACTTAGGCAAATGCACACAAATTCACACAGACAAACGCACGCACGCATACACACACACCGGTGTGGGTGTGCAACAAACAAATAGGGGGCTCAGCGACAACAATCCTTGTTACTTACCCAAAGAGTGATACTTAAGTGGGTGTGTTTGCGAATCTGTAGGAAAATACAGTGAAAGTAACAGAGCAAGAGCGAGCGAGAAAGAAGTGCTTGTATGCATAACGAACTGACTGACTGACTGCCTGACTGCCCGCCAGACAGAGCACATTCGGCTTCGAACATGTAAATACAGTCAGAGAACGTTTTACGTAACGACTCTACATGCGTCGAAGTGACTAACAAATTGATTGATTGACTGACTGACTAACTTGATAGCTAGCTTGCAATTGATCGCGCGTAGAGATCCGGGAAAGAATGGATAAGTAAGTTATCGCTTATTTCAGAACAAGAACAATGACAACAACAACGACGACCAAATAAAAAGAGCACTGCGATCGCTCGGTTAAATAGAGCGATTGGGACAATCAGTGTTTGGAAATCACTAACCAATACCCTCAATGGTTGTTTGATTCCTCCTGGGTTCGTTTTGTTCGTGTCAAGTCCCATTCAAACATAACCCGATGAATTAACACAAAAGGCCAAACGTGGTGGTCTCTTTGATGTCTGACAAAATGTGAACAAAGACTGGAATTAGGAAACAGAAAAAAATTACTTGCTTCAACTAGTTCCCCCGTCCGGTTTTACTCACGTGTGTGCGGTGTTTCTTTTCTGTTTTTGGTATTCCAAATTTCCTCATTCTCTACTAACTTGAGGCATTTTATTCTCGATCACACGCAGTCTGATGACCAAAAAAACGCATCAAATAGATGTCTTTCTTCCAGGTAACCCATATGATGACCTGCGGTATTGAGTACTATTGTTTCAATGTAAAGGCACTGCTCCAAAGTGTGACTTTTTCCGCGCTTTGTTCGAGGTGTTACTATTTTACACGTCATTGGTTTCACATTATTTCACGGCTAGGTTAAGTCATTGTTTTTTTTATCACAAAATATGATAATTCAAATAAATTTCACAACACTCAGAAGAATTTCCATCGCTGGTTTTGCAAACATCTGAGCACATGCGTATTTTTATCTGGTGTCGGAATTCAATACTAACTTTCATCGTGTGTATGTGATGCCGTACCTCTTTATATTTCTTACGCATTAATCTGCTGTCATGTTTGACGGGGTGAAGGAGCGGGAATGAAAATGGGTTTTGTTTAAATTGACACCCCATTGTCCTTTTTCATGATTCTTCTGGAACTAACTATCTACATTTGTATTTATTTTTGCTGTTCTGAACATACCTAGTTGTTCTATCACGCATGAAAGATGTCTTCTAATGTGCTGGACACTGAACCGTCCTGTGTCGGAG